TGGATTTTTGATGTTAAGGTTTTTCGATTTTTCAAGTTTAGATTTCTCAATTTTTGGATATTTCATTCTATAATTTTTAAATTTTTGGGATTTTCAGTTCCTCGATTTTCCAGTTTTTCAAATTCTCTATTTTCATTTCTTCGATTACTCAATTTTTAGATTTTTCATTTTTAGGATTTCTCAGTTTTTCAATTCCTCAATTTTTGGTTTTTTTATTTTTAGATTCTCTATTTTCCGATGTCAGTTTTGCGATTTTTCAATTTATCGGTTCTTCAATTTTTCGAATTCTCGATATTTCAGTTTCGACTTTTCACGTTTTTGATTTTTCAATTTTTAAAGATTTTCGACTTTTCGATTAATTGATTTTTCGATTATCTGATTATTCTGCCGATTTCTCGATTTTTCGACTTCTGCACTTTCCGAAGTTTAGATTTTTCGACTTTTTGATATTTTGATATTATCATTTCTCGATTTCTCGATTTTTGGATTTTCAAATTTTCAATTCGTCAATTTTTCGATTTTTCGGGTTTTTGATTTTTCAATTTTTAGAGATTTTTCGACTTTCTAATTTCTCCATTTTTCAATGTTTCGGTTTCTCGACTTCTAGATTTTTCGATTTTTCAATTTTCAGATTTACAATTTTTCAATTCAACGTTTTTGACTTTTCAATTTTTAAAGATTTTCAACTTTTCAATTTGTCGATTTTTCAATTTTTCGATATCTCAGTTTTTGCAAGTTTGGGACTTTTCTGTTCTCCGATTCTTCAATTTTTCTCCACTTTATTAATTTTTCGATTTTTCAATTTTACGATTTATCGATTAATTATTTTTTATTTAATTTTTTCCTTTTCTTTAAATTTGTGATATTTTCATTTTTTGATTTGTTAAACTTTGGATTTTTCAATTTCTCGATTTTTTCTTTCTATAGTTTTCCAGTTTTCTGATTTTTCAGTTTTGTGAAATTTGCGACTTTTTTCGAAACTTAGTTAAAGACCTTTTCTCGTATATTTCGACCTCTACAAGTTATTTTGGGCCTCATTTCTTCGATAAATCTTTCCATATTTCCAAAATCGTCAATTGAAACATGCCAATCTTTAGGATTGTTTGAAAAATTTTAATTCCTAACCAGAATTTTTTGGGAATTTTCAGTTGGACTTTATCAAACGCTCCATTCTGAAATTTTCGACTGAAAATCAAAATTGTGCAGTTTTTAGTTTTCTCAATTTTTCGAATTTTCAATTTTTTGACTTTTCGATGATTTTCAATTTCACTATTTTCAATTTTTCGATATTTTATTTTTGGGATTTTCCGGTTCTGGATTCTTCAGTTGCTCGATTTTTTGTTTATAGATTCTCTATTTTCCGATATTTCAGTTTTACAATTTTTCAACTTATCAATTTGTGTATTTTCGATTTTTTGAATAATTGATTTTTCGATTTACGACTTCTGCACTTTCCAACGTTTAAAATTTTCGATTTTTCGATATTCTGATTTTCTCATTTCTCGATTTCTCGATTTTTGGATTTTCAGATTTTTAAATCTTCAAATTTTCGAGGTCTCACATTTTTCAATTTTTAGAGATTTTACGACTTTCTCGATTTTTCAGATTTACAATTTTTCAATTTTGTTTATCCAATTTTTCGATTTTTCACGTTTTTGATTTTTTAATTTTTAGAGATTTTTCGACTTTTCGATTTATCGATTTTTCAATTTTTCGATATCTCAATTTTTCCATGTTTCAGTTTTGGAATTTTTCTGTTTTTCGATTTTTCAATTTTTCTCCTATTTGTAAATTTTTCGATTCTGCTACTTTACGATTTCCCAATTTTTCAATTTTTCGATTTATTGATCAATTATTTTTCGATCTTTAAACTTTGAGATTTTTCAATTTTCCTTTTGATATTTCAATTTTTTGATTTGTTAAATTTTGGATTTTTCAAATTCTCGATTTTTTCTTTCTTTAATTTCTCAGTTTTTCGATTTTTCAGTTTTATCAATTTTTCGACCATTTTCGAAATTTAGTTAAACACATTTTCTTGAAGTTGCTTTAGGCCGTATGTCTTCCATTAATCTTTCCATTTTTCCAGAATCGTCAATTGAAATGATCCAATTTTGAGGATTTTTTGAAAAATTTAGAATTCAAACCGGAAATTTATAAAATTTTGCCTTGAGACCACAAACACGTTATATTTTTAACACGTTATATTTTTCAAATCAGCACATCGAGATCTATATCCCAGAATTTTTTGGGAATTTTCAGTTCAACTTTTCCAAACTTTCCATTTTTTTATAGTTTCCCATCTTGAAATTTTGATTTTTTGCATTTTTGACGTTTAGATTTTTCTATTTTTCGATATTTTGATTTTTCTAAATCTCTGTTTTTCCATGTTTAAGTTTTGGGTTTTTCTGTTTTTCGATTCTTCAATTTTTCTCCGATCTATCAATTTTTCGATTTTGCAAATTTACGATTTCCGAATTTTTCAATTTTTCGATTTATTGATTAATCATTTTTCGATCTTTAATTTTTGGGATTTTTCAATTTTCTTTCTGATATTTTAATTTTTTGATTCGTTAAATTTTAGATTTTCTAATTTCTCGATTTTTTCTTTCTTTGATTTTTGCGTTTTTCGATTTTTCAGTTTTATTAATTTTACGACTTTTTTCAAAATTTAGTTAAAGACATTTTCTTGAAGATTTCGACCTCCAGAAGTTACTTTGGGTCGTATGTCTTCCATAAATCTTTCCATTTTTCCAGAATCGTCAATTGAAATGATCCAATTTTTATGATTTTTTGAAAAATTTAGATTCCAAACCGGAAATTCTAAAATCTTTTTCCATATTTCTTCAGTTTTGGGATTTTTCAGTTTCTCGATTCTTCAATTTTTCAATTTTTCAGTTTATTACTTTTTCAATTTTTAGAGATTTTTCGACTTTCTAATTTCTCGATCCTTCAATATTTCGGCTTCTCGACTTCTAGATTTTTCGAATTTTCGATTTTCAGATTTATATTTCTTCAATTTTGCTTTTTCAATTTTCCGATTTTTCACGTTTTTTATTTTTCAATTTTTAGAGATTTTTCGATATCCCTATTCTTCCACATTTCTTCAGTTTTGGGATTTTTCAGTTTCTCGATTCTTCAATTTTTCGACTTTTCAGTTTATTACTTTTTGAATTTTTAAAGATTTTTCTACTTTCTGATTTCTAGAGTTTTCAATATTTCGGCTTCTCGAATTCTACATATTTAGAATTTTCGATTTTCAAATATATAATTCTTCAATTTTGTTTTTTCAATTTTCCGATTTTTCACGTTTTTTATTTTTCAATTTTTAGAAAATTTTCGATATCCCAGTTTTTTCATGTTTCTTCAGTTTTGGGATTTATCAGTTTTTCGATTTTTCAATTAATTATTATTTGTTAAATTTTTGATTTTTTTATTTCTCGACTTTTTCTTTCTTTAATTTTTCAGTTAATCCATTTTTCAGTTTTATCAATTTTTCGACAATTTTCGAAATTTTCTGATAGATTTAGACCCCTAGAACTTACCTTCAGTCTCATTTCTTCGATAAATTTTTCCATTTTTCCGAAATCGTCAATTGAAATGAACCAATTTATAGGATTTTTTGAAAAATTTGAATTCCAACCCGGAAATTTGTAAAACCTTGCTCTGGACCATAAGACCATAAACACTAGGGTGATTAAAAAAAAAATAATAATTTTTTTTTTCGTGCAAAGAGGTTCAAAAGTTTCTTTTCAACGTAAAAAAATACCAGTTAAAATTTGAGCTCTTAATATTAATATTAAGACCGTCCGCATCGCGTTTTTCTATTTCCCATAAGAATAACATGGGAAAATTTTTGTTTGCACCTTCTGATTTTTATTGCTAGCCCGTCGTGTGTCGTGAAAAAAATTCAATCACATATTTTTACAGAGAATTGAACGCTCTACAAAAAGTGTCTCCTATGATTGTGCGAGAAACCTGATAGTTGAAGAGTTATTTTAGGCTAAAGTTAAATTTATCCAAATTTTGACGTTTTTGATGCATTACAATAAATTTGATGGTCTTATTGGAATAAATCACCACAAAAATTTATACACATTTTAAATTTAGTTTTTTAAACAGTAATTGTTTATAATTTTATGCTATAATAAGGCCAGTAAAACTCTTTCCGAACATTTTCAGCATCAGTGGGTTAAAAAATCATAGTCAGGTTTCTCGCAAAATCATAGGAGACACTTTTTGTAGAGCGTTCAGTTCTCTATAAAAATATGTGATTGAATTTTTTTCATGACACACGACGGGCTAGCAATAAAAATCAGAAGGTGCAAACAAAAATTTTCCCATGTTATTCTTATGGGAAATAGAAAAACGCGATGCGGACGGTCTTAATATTAATATTAAGAGCTCAACTTTTAACTGGTATTTTTTTACGTTGAAAAGAAACTTTTGAACCTCTTTGACACGAAAAAAAAAAATTTTTTTTTTTTTTTGAATCACCCTAATAAACACCCTATATTTTTCGAATCAGCACGTCGAGATCTATATCCTATAATTTTTTGGGAATTTTCAGCTCAACTTTTCCAAACCATTTCATTTTTCAATTTCTCAATTTTTTTGAAATTTTCGACTATTTTTCGAAATTTAGTTAATGACATTTTCTTGTATAGTCAGACCTCCAGAAATTATTTTAAGCCTCATTTCTTCGATAAATCCTACCATTGCTCCAGAATCGTCAATTGAATTGTCCCAATTTTCAGAGTTTTTTGAAAAAATTTAATTTCAACACGGTTTAAATTCTTACAATCATGATTAAATTAAGGTTAATTCTAATGTGATCAAGGAAGCTCTGAATGAATATAAAATTTATTTATTTATTTAATATTATTTTTAACCACAGCTGCTACTAATCTACTTATCCTTGAAAATTTCTACGAATTCTACTTAAAAAAAATTATAAATTCGCCGCCGGCGCCGTCTAAATCGTCTCCATTTGTTTATTCCAGTACGACCACCACCACAAATTCGACCTCTGGTCCCTGAAGAAATCGATCCTCAACACTCTCCTGCAGGCGGTGAAGGCCATCAAAGGCGGAGTGATAGCCATAAAAGGGCAGCTGATAAAAGGAAGCGGTTACCTCATATCTGCAAAGGGCAAGTTAATAAGTTCCAAGGGAGAAGCCATAACCAAACTGGGCAAGAACATCGCCACTTCCGCCGTCTTGAGTCCGACCCACGGACATTCTGAAGGTATTATTTCTTCCGGTTTTAATTTAAAACTACGTGCAACAGTCCGTCTCTTATCACCAGTGACGCAACACTGTGGTGGTGGAATTCAACTAGTGATAATGTATCTGGTGCAGCGGTCGGATTTACATAAACCTCCAGGAACAACGAAACGCAACCGCGAGGAAATTGGCATTTTGCTCTAATCATAATCATTTAATGCAATGTGTCGAAACTGGCGCTTTAAATAAGCAAATGGTGATAGTTGGAGGAAGTTGCTGCATTGTTTACATATTTCACACTAGAGTGGAGTTCCTTTTATATATGGTTATATAAAATTTAAACTTTTTCCTGAATTTAAAATCAATTTGAATAGAATTGTATGAAGTCAATTTGTTTCGAAAAACATAGACAATAGCTGGTCCAGGTACCAAAGTCCCCCATAACAGATTCATGCGAATACAATAACGTACGAAATGACTTAATTCGCAACGTAAATGATCCTCCGAAGTTAATTCGAATGGGTTTTAACGAGAAAACCGTGTTAAACCGGGATAAGTGCGTTTATTTTAGAGAAGTCTCCTGGGAAAGGCCCACGCGGTTAAAATCACAAAGATGTGCGACAATAAAACAGCAATATTCACTCCCAATCGATACAGGAATGGAATACCCAACAGCTGATGTTCAATTCAAACGTGTTCAAAACACTTTACTAACTTGACAGTCAGGAGATAAAATCCATTGGAAAAGTTGTAATCCACGCTTGCGTTTTGTCGGGGTTTTCGTGAAATGAACAAATCGTGTTTAAAGATTCACTTCTTCGTTCTGTTTCAGGTTGTAACGTCTTTGACTTATTGAAGTTGTCATTTTCTTTTCATTTTTTGTTTCATTATTTCACCGAAGTTTCTGTTTCTATTTAAAAATCGTTTCTTGTTTATCTTTGCATTTTTTTATTTTCACTGTTATACTTTTCAGTTTCTTCTTTTCAAAAAAACATTCAGCCAAAAGATTCTAACTCCGCGATCCTCTAATCAAATCCCTGAAATTTCTTCAGTTAGACTCAACATTTTGTTCGAATCTTTTTCGTTTTCTTTTCTACATTCGTAGTTTTTTCTTACCACTGATCCTTTCTTTTTTCTTCTTTTTTCTTCCCATTTCTAGATCTTTTCTGTATGCCCACTCTTCTTCTAACATTATCATTTTTTATCTCATTATTTCATCGAAGTTTGAAACTTCCAGAAATTATTCCCTACCAACAATCTCCTTAATAATATTCCACCATCTAAATTGTGGTACTTTTGGTATCGCTACTAACTCTGAAATCTTATAAAATATTTTTGAACGACCTTCGTTTTTCATTTTTTTTCACCTGACAAATTTCTCTTCACTCACTCTTTTATTCAAAATTGTTTCTTCTTCTCCTTTATGTCTTTTTTTTATTTTCACAGTTATACTTTTCAGTTTCTTCTTTTCAAAAAAACATTCAGCCAAAAGATTCTAACTCCTCGATCCCCTACTCAAACCCCTGAAATTTCTTCATCTAGACTCAACATTTTGTTCGAATCTTCTTTATTTTCTTTTCTACAATCTTAGTTTTTTCTTACCACTGATCTTCTTTTTCTTCTCTAGTCTTCCCCTTTCTAGATTCTCCTTTTACGCCCACTGTTCTTCTATCATTATTAATTTTTATCTCATTAATACACCGAAGTTTCTATTCTAAATTATTCCAGAAATTTCCAGAAATTGTTGCCTACTAACAATCTTTTTAACAACATTTTTTCGTATCATTTCTAATTTTAAAATTTTTTAAAATATTTTTGATCTTCCTTATCTCTCGATTTTTTTTCAACTGACTGGTCTCCCTTCAATCTCTCTTCTATTTAAAAATCATTTCTTCATTATCTTTATGTCTTTTTTTTTATTTTCACAAATATACTTTTTAGTTTCTTTTTTTCAAAGATACATTTAGCCAAAAAATTCTAAATCCTCGACCCTCTACTCAAACCATTGAAATTTCTTCATCTAGACTCAACATTTTGTTCGAATCTTCTTTATTTTTTTTTTCTACATTCTTAGTTTTTTCTTACCACCGATCCTCTCCTTTTTCTTCTTTCTTCTTACCCTTTCTAGATTCTCCTTTTATGCCCACTGTTCTTCTATCATTATCAATTTTTATCTCATTATTTCACTGTAGTTTCTATTCTAAATTATTCCAGAAACTTCCAGAAATTGTTCCCTACTAACAATCTTTTTAACAACATTTTTTCGTATCATTTCTAATTTTAAAATTTTTAAAAATATTTTTGATCTTCCTTACCTCTCGATTTTTTTTTCAACTGACCGGTCTCCCTCCAATCTCTCTTCTATTTAAAAATCATTTCTTCATTATCTTTGTCTTTTTTTTATTTTCACAAATATACTTTTTAGTTTCTTTTTTTCAAAGATACATTTAGCCAAAAAATTCTAAATCCTCGACCCTCTACTCAAACCTCTGAAATTTCTTCATCTAGACTCAACATTTTGTTCGAATCTTCTTTATTTTCTTTTCTACATTCTTAGTTTTTTCTTACCACTGATCCTCTCCATTTTCTTCTTTCTTCTTCCCCTTTCTAAATTTTCCTTTTATGCCCTCTGTTCTTCTATCATTATCAATTTTTATCTCATTATTTCACTGAAATTTCTGTTCTAAATTCCTCCAGGAACTGTCAGAAATTCTTCTGTACCAACAATCTCTTTAATAACATTCCACCATCTAAATTGTGATACTTTTCACATTATAACCATTTCTGAAAAATCTTTTGAAATGTTTTTGATCTTCCTTCTTTCTCGATTTTTTTTCTCTCAATTGACTGGTCTCCCTTCACTCTCTATTCTATTAAAAAATCGTTTCTTCTTTATCTTTGTATTTTTTATTTTCCAGTTATACTTTTCAGTTTCTTCTTTTCAAAAACATACAACCAAAAAATTCTAAATCTTCGACCCTCTAATCAAACCCCTGAAACTTTTTCAAATAGACCCAACATTTTGTTCGAATTTTCTGTGTTTTCTTTTCTGCATTCGTAGATTTTTCTTTCCACTGATCATTCCCTTTTTCTTCCTTCTTCTTCCCCTTTCTAGATGTTTCCATTGTGTCCACTGTTCTTCTATCATTATCATTTTTTCTCTAATTATTTCACTGAAATTTCTGTTCTAAATTCTTCCAGAAACTGTCAGAACTTATTCCCTACTAACAGTCTTTTTAATAACATCCCAACATCTAAATTGTGATACTTTTCGCATTATTGCTAATTCTGGAATCGTTTAAAATATTTTTGATCTACACTCTTTCTTGATTTTTTCTCAATTGACTAATCTCCCTTGACTTCTATTTAAAAATCGTTTCTTCTTTTTTTCATGTCTTTTTATTTTATTTTCGCAGTTATACTTTTCAGTTTCTTCTCTTCAAAAAAAAAAAAACATTCAGACAAAAAATTCTAAATCCTCGACCTCTGTCAAACCCCCGAAATTTTTTCAGTTAGACTCAACATTTTTTTCGAATCTTCTTTGTTTTCTTTTGTATGTACCTTCGTAGTTTTTTCTTTCCACCGATCCTTTCATTTTTCATCATTCTTCTTCCCATTTCTAGATCTTTCCTGTATGCCCACCCTTCTTGTATCATTATCGTTTTTTATATCATTATTTCACTGAAGTCTCATCTAAATTCTTCCAGAAACTTCCAGAAATTGTTCCCTAAACAGTCTTTTTAATAACATCCCAAGATCTAAATTGTAATACTTTTCGCATCATTACTAATTCTGGAATCGTTTAAAATATTTTTGATCTTCCCTCTTTCTAGATTTTTTCTCAATTGACTAATCTCCCTTCATTTCTATTTAAAAATCGTTTGTTCTTTTTCTTTATGTCATTTTATTTTATTTTCGCAGTTACACTTTTCAGTTTCTTCTTTTCAAAAAAAAAACATTCAGACAAAAAATTCTAAATCCTCGACCTCTAATCAAACCCCCGAAATTTTTTCAGTTAGACTCAACATATTTTTCGAATCTTCTTTGTTTTCTTTTCTACATTCGTAGTTTTTTCTTTCCGCCGATCCTTTCATTTTTCTTCTTTCTTCTTCCCATTTCTAGACGTTTCCTGTATGCCCACCTTTCTTCTATCATTATCATTTCTTATCTCATTATTTCACTGGAGTCTCTTCTAAATTCTTCCAGAAACTTCCAGAAATTGTTCCCTACTGACAGTCTTTTTAATAACATCCCAGCATCTAAATTGTGATACTTTTCGCATTATTACTAATTCTGGAATCGTTTAAAATATTTTTGATCTTCCCTCTTTCTTGATTTTTTCTCAATTGACTAATCTCCCTTCACTTCTATTTAAAAATCGTTTCTTCTTTTTCTTTATGTCTTTTTATTTTATTTTCGCAGTTGCACTTTTCAGTTTCTTCTTTTCAAAAAAAAACATTCAGAAAAAAAATTTTAAATCCTCGACCTATAATCAAACCCCCGAAATTTTTTCAGTTAGACTCAACAATTTTTTCGAATCTTTATTGTTTTCTTTTCTACGTTCATAGTTTTTTCTTTCCATTGATCCTTTCATTTTTCTTCTTTCTCCTTCCCATTTCTAGATCTTTCCTGTATGCCCACCTTTCTTCTATCATTATCATTTTTTATCTCATTATTTCACTGGAGTCTCTTCTAAATTCTTCCAGAAACTTCCAGAAATTGTTCCCTACTAACAGTCTTTTAATAACATCCCAACATCTAAATTGTGATACTTTTCGCATCATTACTAATTCTGGAATCGTTTAAAATATTTTTGATCTTCCCTCTTTCTTGTTTTTTTTTCTCAATTGACTAATCTCCGGTCACTTCTATTTAAAAATCGTTTGTTCTTTTTCTTTATGTCATTTTATTTTATTTTCGCAGTTACACTTTTCAGTTTCTTCTTTTCAAAAAAAAAAACATTCAGACAAAAAATTCTAAATCCTCGGCCTCTAATCAAACCCCCGAAATTTTTTCAGTTAGACTCAACATTTTTTTCGAATCTTCTTTGTTTTCTTTTCTACATTCGTAGTTTTTTCTTTCCACTGATCCTTTCATTTTTCTTCTTTCTTCTTCCCATTTCTAGATATTTCCTGTATGCCCACTTTTCTTCTGTCATTATCATTTTTTATCTCATTATTTCACTGGAGTCTCTTCTAAATTCTTCCAGAAACTTCCAGAAATTATTCCCTACTAACAGTCTTTTTAATAACATCCCAACATCTAAATTGTGATACTTTTCGCATTACTACTAATTCTGGAATCGTTTAAAATATTTTTGATCTTCCCTCTTTCTTGATTTTTTCTCAGTTGACTAATCTCCCGTCACTTCTATTTAAAAATCGTTTCTGATTTTTCTTCATGTCTTTTTATTTTATTTTCGCAGTTACACTTTCCAGTTTCTTCTTTTAAAAAAAAAACATTCAGACAAAAAATTCTAAATGCTCGACCTCGAATCAAACCCCCGAAATTTTTTCAGTTAAACTCAACATTTTTTTCCAATATTCTTTGTGTTCTTTTCTAGATTCGTAGTTTTCTTCTTTCTTCATCCCATTTCTAGATCTTTTCTGTTTCTCTTCTTCTATCATTATCATTTTTCATCTTATTATTTCACTGAAGTTTCTCTTCTAAATTCTTCCAGAAACTTCCAGAAATTCGTCCCTACTAATAATCTTTTGATTGACATTCCACAATCTAAATTGTGGTACTTTTCGAATCATTACTAACTCTGAAAGCTTTTTAAAATATTTTAGATTTCCCTTCTTTCTCGATTTTTTCTCAACTGACTACTCTCGCTTATATCTAAGAAATTGTTTCTTCTTTACCTTCATGATTTTTTTTATTTTCGTAGCAGTTTCTTCTTTTCAGAAAACATTTGGCCAAAAAATATTAAATCCTTGACCCTCTAATCAAACTTCGGAAATTTCTTCTGTTCGAATGTTCTTTCTTTCCTTTTTCTTCATTCTTCTTCTTCTTTCCTAGATTTTTCCTTTATGCCCACTGTTCTTTTATCATTATTTGTAAATTTGAATTGAATCGTTCCATACACGTCTTCAGTCAAAATTTGGGCCCTGGTCTTCTAAAACTAATCTTCTTCCTGTTCTCACATGAACATCTTCTCAATTTTCTTAGAAGAATGATTTTTTTCTTGTCTAAATTCTAGTTGATATCTAAACTACAGAATGTTATTTCCAATTTTAGAATCTTGTAGTATTTACTGGAAAAATTCTCTAATTCTCTTTCTGTATAGTAGATCTCTTCTATAGTGCCGAAATTTCCAGGAACATTTCTTTTTGAACACGACCTTGTAGAACCTTCAAACGCATTTCCGTTGTATCTTCTATGATTCTAGTCATTCTGAAATCTAAATATAAAGCTTCAGTTTCAGATCTTTTATCATTTATCCTTGTTCATCAGGATACAATGTCTTCATAATACTCTAGAACTTTTTTAGAACTTTTCAAGAACTTTTTTCCTGAATTTTCCAGAAGACCACAAAACCTCAAATAAAAACATATTAGTTCATTTCTCCCAAAATATGATCATGTCATCTAAAAACCTATTGAAAACTAGACATACTTATTTATTTAACAAAAAAGAAAAAGTGTCTCATAAAATTAGTATATTTTTTTAATTAATGTGTTCCAGAACACGACCACGCCCACTACCACCACAGCGCCCCGGAGGAATACGGTTCCCCCTCGGCCCCCGGACCCGAGTACGAGGTGCCCGAGCACCACTACCACCATCACCACCATGAAGGTACGCAATTTGTTATCCAAACAGCTCCATCCATCATGCCTCGGAACAATACGTGTCGGGGCAACCGCCAGAACTAAGAAAAGTTTCATCCATTGTGTGTCAAATTTTGACGTTTGCGTGCAGTTTCACTTAGAGAACGCACCGAAATTTACATTCAATTAAATGTTTTAATGGTCGCGCTGTTGCGAGCGGCTGACGCGGAACGACGCGACATTTTTTCATCATTTCAATTAAATAAATACAGAAATGGGGCTTTTGGCTAGGGCAAACTCCAAGCGGGTTAGATCCGGGAGCACAGTTGTTGCGAAATGAAATAATTTCCGTCTAGAGGGTCGTAAAGTCTCGTTATGGGCTGTAACTCTTTTGCTATAACACGGATTGAAATTATTACAATTTTATTTTTTTCCGCATATGTCAGTAATTGACTGGCATGTTCTAGAATTTTTGACATCACAGGAAGAATAGAAATTTTCTAATGAGATATGTCAAAAGATAGGATTCTGACAAGTTTTACAAATGACGCCGTCGGATCGGGTTATTACGACTTTTGATAAAACAAGTGTGACTTAAATGTCGAAAATGACACAAAAAGGCACAAAAAAACTAAACAATCGACTAAAAAAGCAATGGAAAAAGGTACATAAAACGCAAAAAAGGTGACAAAAAGAGCACATTAAAACATAAAAGAAAAAAGTGACAAACATAAAAAAAGCAACAAAAACCGACAACAAGGCTATTAAAAAACGACAAGAAAAGAGAAAAAAGGCGGTAAAAGGAGTCCTTAAAAACGAAAAATAAGTTAAACAAAAAATCAACAAAAAAAGAGCGCAAAGAAAAGGGGCGACCTATAAAAGGCGATAAAAAGGAGAAGAAAAATCATGATAATAAAAAACAAGACAAAAAATGCGCTAAAAAGGACTCAAAAAGAGACGAAAAAGGGACTGACAAAAAAAGGATAAAAAAGCGACGAAAAAAGATCAGAAAACAACAAAACAAAAGATAGCATAGGGTGTCAAAAAACAACAAAAAATGAGACAAAAAACGAGTAAAAAAAGAACACAGAAAAAAACAAAAAAAGAGGCGATAAAAAAATGAAAAGGAGGCTATGGAAAAGGCGACCAAAAGAAGACAATCAGAAACAACCATGAAATTGCACATAAAAATGTAAAAAGGGACACAAAAATTGACTCAATAAGGGCAGAAAAAGCTAGGGAAAAACAATAAATTTGGACCTAAAAAGCCACAGAAAGGGGCGAACCCCAAAGACCAAAAACAGAAGATCTAAAAAATCATCAAAGGGAACGAAAAACAAGATGTAAAAAAGAAAACAAAAAAATCCTTAAAAAAAAAAGGTAAGAAAAAAGGACCCCAGAAAACAACAAAAAAACGATAAATATGGACATAAAAAGTCACACAAAGGGGGCCAAAGAAGACGAAAAAAAAGACACAAAAAACTATAAAAAAGGCGCATTAAAATGCAAAAAGGGACACAAACAATTGACTCAAAAAGAGCACAAAAACCTTGAACAAAAAATGGCTACAAAAAAAGGGAGGAAAATAGGCGAAAAAATAAAATACACCACGGTAAAAAAGAGACGAAAAAGGACATTAAAAAACAAGTAAAAAAGTACCCAAAAAATAGAGTAAAAAGGACAAAAAAGCCCATAAAAAAGGGGTACAAAAAATCGTAAAACGACAAAAAGGACAAGTGAAAAAGCGATAAAAACCCAATAAAAAAGAAACGACAAAAAATCCGATAAAAAAGACACAAAGGACGTGTAAAAAGCCACAAAAAGCTATCAAAAAAGGCAAAAAAGGACTCAAAAAGGGCACAAAAAGCAAGGAAAAAATAGCGACAAAAAAGAGAACAATTGGGGATTTGAAAAAAAAGGCGACAAAAAAATGAGAAACAAAAACGACACAGAAAGCCACAAAAAAGGGGGCGACAAAATAAAGACAAAACAAAACGAACAAAAAAACGACAACAAAAGGCTAACGAAAAAACGACGATAAAAAAAGGATAAAAAGGCACATGAAGATGCAAAAAAGGCCACAAAAAATGGACTTAAAAAAAGCACAAAAAGCGAGAAAAGAGGAAAAATAGGCGAAATACAGCGACCTTTTCAAAAAAGGCTACAAAACACACAAAAAGCTACAAAAAAACAATCGACTAAAAAAGCAATGAAAAAAGGTGCATAAAACGCAAAAAAGGGACAAAAAAGCAGATTAGAATACAAAAGAAAAAGATGACAAACATAAAAAAGGCAACAAACACCGACAAAGAGCCTATTAAAAAATGACAAGAAATAAGAAAAAAGGCAGTAAAAGGAGTCCTTAAAAACGAAAAATAAGGTGACCAAAAAATCGACTTAAAAAGAGCGCAGACGAGAGAAAAGAGGCGACTTATAAAAGGCGAGAAAAAGAAGAAAAATCATGATAATAAAAAACAAGACAAAAAATGGGCTAAAAAAGACTCCAAAAGAGGCGAAAAGGGGACTGAAAAAAAGGATAAAAAAGCGACGAAAAAATCAGAAAACAATAAAATAAAAGACAGGGTAAAAAGGGAGTCAAAAAACGACAAAAAATGAGACAAAAAAATGGGTAAAAAAAAAAAGGCACAAAAGGCCACAAAAAATGGGCCTAGCGAAAGGACGACTAAAAAAGACGATCAAAAACGGCCATAAATTTGCAAATAAAAATGTAAAAAGGGCAACAAAAATCGACTCAATAAGGGTACAAAAAGCTAGGAAAAAAATGGCAACCCCAAAGACCAAAAACAGAAGACCTAAAAAATCGTCAAAGGGAACGAAAAACAAGATGTAAAAAAGAAAACAAAAAAATCCTAAAAAAAAGGTAAGAAAAAAGGACGCCAAAAAAACAACAAAAAAACGACAAATATGGACATAAGAAGCCACACAAAGGGGCCAAAAAGGAAAAAAACACAAAAAACGATAAAAAAGGCGCATTAGAATGCAAAAAGGGACACAAACACTCGACTCAAAAAGGCACGAAAAGCTTGAACAAAAAAAAAGCGACAAAAAAAGGGAGGAAAATAGGCCAAAAAATAGGCTACCTAAAAAAACACCTGAAAAGGGAAGAAAAAACACCAGGGTAAAAACGAGACGAAAAGGGGCATTAAAAAACAAGTGAAAAAGGACACAAAAAATAGAGTAAAAAGGGCAAAAAAAGCCCATAAAAAAAGGGGTACAAAAAAAACGTAAAACGACAAAAAGGACTGGCCAAAGAGCGATAAAAAAAGCTATAAAAAGGTACGACAAAAAAGCCGATAAAAAGGCACAAAAGACGTGTAAAAAGCCATAAAAAGCGACACAAAAAGGCCACAAAAACGACTCAAAAAGGTACAAAAAGGACTCAAAATTGGCACAAAAAGCAAGGAAAAAATAGCGACAAAAAAGGAGAATAAGTGGCGATTTAAAAAAAAAAGGCGATTGAAAAAGGGACATGAAACAACAAAACAGAACGAACAAAAAAACGACAACAAAAGGCCAACGAAAAAACGACGATAAAAAGGCACATGAAGATGCAAAAATGGCCACAAAAAATTGACTGAAAAAGAGCACAAAGAGCAAGAAAAGAGGAAAAATAGGCGAAATACACCGACCTTTTAAAAAAAAAGGCAAAAATTTACACAAAAAGCTACAAAAAAACTAAACAATCGACTAAAAAAGCAATGAAAAAAGGTACATAAAATGCAAAAAAAGGTGACAAAAAAGCACATTAGAATACAAAAGAAAAAGGTGACAAACATAAAAAAGGCAACAAAAACCGACAAAGAGACTATTAAAAAACGACAAGAAATGAGAAATAAGGCGGCAAAAGGAGTTCTTAAAAACCAAAAACTAAGTGAACAAAAAATCGACTAAAAAAGAGCGCAGATAAGAGAAAAGAGGCGACTTATAAAAGGCGACAAAAAGAAGAAAAATCATGATAAAAAAATAAGACAAAAAATAGGCTAAAATAGACTCCAATAGGGGACTGAACAAAAGGATAAACAGCGTAAAAAGGGAGACAAAAAACGAGTAAAAAAAGGACACAAGAGCCACAAAAAGGAGGCAATAAAAAAAGATGAAAAGCAGGCTATCAAAAGAACGAGTTAAAAATACGATCAAAAACGACCATGAAATTGTACATAAAAATGTAAAAAAAGGCCACAAAAATTGACTCAATAAGGGCAGAAAAAGCTAGGGAAAAAGGGTGGACCGAAAAGGCCAAAAACAGAAGACCTAAAAAAACGTCAAAGGGAACGAAAAAACGAAAAACAGGATGTAAAAAAGAAAACAAAAAAATCCAAAAAAAAAAGGTAAGAAAAAAAGGGACCCCAAAAAACAACAAAAAAACAATAAATGTGGACATAAAAAAGGCGCATTAAAATGCAAAAGGGGACATAAACAATCGACTCAAAAGGGCACAAAAAGCTTGAACAAAATCCCATAAAAAAGGGGTACAAAAAAAAAACGAAAAACGACAAAAAGGGCTGGCGAAAAGGCTATAAAAAACTCAATAAAAAAGAAACGACAAAAAAGCCGATAAAAAAGGCACAAAAGACGTGTAAAAAGCCATTAAAATCGACTCAAAAAGACCACAAAAAGGACTCAAAAATGTCACAAAAAGCAATGAAAACAATTGGCGATTTAAAAAAAAAAAACGATTGAAAAAGGGACATGAAACGACAAAAAAATGAGTAACAAAAACGACACAAAAGGTCACAAAAAGGGGGCGACAAAATAAAAAGCGAGAAAAGAAGAAAAAAAGGCGAAATACAGCGACCTTTTTGAAAAAAGTCTACAAAACAGAAATCGAAAAAAGAATTGACACAATAAACAACAACAGAACAAAACAGCGACAAAAAACTGCAGAAAAGACAACAAAAAACGACATAAAAACGACAAAAAGGAAAATCGACAAAGAAGGGCCTCATAAAAAATGCAAGAAAAAGGTGAGAAAAGAATAAAAAGCTTGATATGTTTCTGCATTTCTTTCAAAAACAAATGCTGCACTTTTTATGAATTTTGTGCATTACTTTATCATAATCCTGTATATACTCTTGGAGTCTTTTAATTCCTGTTGAACAATCATTCAGAATTTCTATGTACTAAGGAAAATATAAAATACCGTAAATAGTTTAAACCAACCAGAACAGTTGGTCAATAATTTTTAAATTCTCCAAATTTAAAGTGTTAATTTTTTCTTTTAATCAATAAATTTCTTATTCTTCCTGTTGCAATAAATTCTGGTAGTACTATTTTTTTATCAAATTAATCACGAAAGTGGAGTCGGGTGGGTGGGCGGGGTTTATTATATGCTCTTCTATAGAGTGGGACTGGTAGCTGATATAAAAACAAAAAAAAAAACGCTAATCGTAATTTTTTTGTTGTATTTCTTATAAGATTTACTTCTTATTTCAGAAGAAAAAAAATACGTAACAGTCCATATAATTTTGTCTTTGTTATCATGTTCCTTATTGACACCATTTTCAAGTAACCCAACACTTAGTTTACCAGTTTAACTTTTTCCTACAATCTTTTATAACCAAGCAGTAGCCCCACCCACCCTCCCTCATTTCCTTCCGATTACTCTCTTAATATTGTTCACTTTTATCGTCACGAGTACTAACCCCACCCACCCGCCCTCTATTTTCTTGGAAAGTATATTTCTTTCCAAAATCAATCTTATCTCAACAAGCACCTGCTGCCATAAAGTTTGGTAGTAATATTTTTTTATCAAATTAATCACGAAAATGGAGTCGGGTGGGTGGGCGGGGTTTATTATATGTTCTTATGTGAAGTGAGAGTGGTAGCTCATAAAAACAAAACAAAAAACGCTAATCGTAATTTTTTTTGTTCTCTTTCTTATAAGATTTATTTCTTATTTCAGAAGAAAAAAAATTCGTAACAGTCCATATAATTTTGTCTTTGTTATCATGTTCCTTATTGACACCATTTTCAAGTAACCCAACACTTAGTTTACCAGTTTAACTTTTTCCTACAATCTTTTATAACCAAGCAGTAGCCCCACCCACCCTCCCTCATTTCCTTCCGATTACTCTCTTAATATTGTTCACTTTTATCGTCACGAGTACTAACCCCACCCACCCGCCCTCTATTTTCTTGGAAAGTATATTTCTTTCCAAAATCAATCTTATCTCAACAAGCACCTGCTGCCATAAAGTTTGGTAGTAATATTTTTTTATCAAATTAATCACGAAAATGGAGTCGGGTGGGTGGGCGGGGTTTATTATATGTTCTTATGTGAAGTGAGAGTGGTAGCTCATAAAAACAAAACAAAAAACGCTAATCGTAATTTTTTTTGTTCTCTTTCTTATAAGATTTATTTCTTATTTCAGAAGAAAAAAAATTCGTAACAGTCCATATAATTTTGTCTTTGTTATCATGTTCCTTATTGACACCATTTTCAAGTAACCCAACACTTAGTTTACCAGTTTAACTTTTTCCTACAATCTTTTATAACCAAGCAGTAGCCCCACCCACCCTCCCTCATTTCCTTCCGATTACTCTCTTAATATTGTTCACTTTTATCGTCACGAGTACTAACCCCACCCACCCGCCCTCTATTTTCTTGGAAAGTATATTTCTTTCCAAAATCAATCTTATCTCAACAAGCACCTGCTGCCATAAAGTTTGGTAGTAATATTTTTTTATCAAATTAATCACGAAAATGGAGTCGGGTGGGTGGGCGGGGTTTATTATATGTTTTTCTATAGAGTAGGACTGGTAGCTGATAGAAATAAAAACAAAACGCTGATCGTAACCTTTTTTTTTGTACTATTTGTTATAAGATTTATTTCTTATTTCAGAAGAAAAAAAAATACGTAACAGTCCGCATCCGCCTTCTATTTTCTTCGAAAGTATATTTCTTTCCAAAATCAGTCTTATCTGAACCAGCACTTGCTGCAATAAATTTTGGTAGTACTATTTTTTTTTATCAAATTAATCACGAAAATGGAGGCGGGTGGGTGGGCGGGGTTTATTATATATTCTTCTATAGAGTGGGACTGGTAGCTGATAGAAACAAGACTGTGTAAAAGCGCTAATCGTGACTTTTTTGTTGTTAAAAATTGGCATATTTAATTGGGTGATTTTGCAAAAGTGTTTTAGCTTGCATAAACTTTTTGTTGTAATTTTTTGCTTTTATTATCAATTGTTGGATGTTGTCTATAATAGGCTGAATATAGAAACATTAACAAATTATTAAAATTTCCAGTAACAAATATACAGGGTCGCTAGAATGTATGGAAACGGTTCGCATCTTGAGAACCAGTTGTACAAGAAGTTGCACCCTAATTATTATTAACAAAAAAAAAATGACGAATAATTAGAGCACAACTTCTTTCACCCCTCCAGATATTTAACTGCTTCCATACATTCTAGCGACCTGTATATAAAATATTACTTTAGGTTTAATAAATACTCAAAGTTATTGTATTTTTTTCTGAAGATAACGATTTCAGGGGCCAAAATAGGCTCTTTTTCAAAGTTACATAGTGCTATAGAAAAAAGTTACAGCCCATAATAAGACAGTTTGAAAACTTCAGAATTCTAGAGGTGTCAATCGGAAGTGATGGATCCATTTAGTGTTCTCATCTGGATAACATAGTCATAATATTTATTGTTAACGTGAAAATCAGAACTAAAAAATCTGTCAAGGTTATGACCATGGACGAAGCACGCACGATTTTTTCCAGTTTCAGCCGAAAGAGAAGTTTATTTGCAACTTGTGCTTTAAATTAAGACAATTATAAACATATTCGAGATTCTAAAAACATTCTAAAAATAAATAATGCAACATGTGTTGCTCAGATCGCTCCTAACTTCGACCGTTTGGACTTTCTCGACCTTTCCCGCAAAACAGGTATAGGATTGTTTTAAAAATGAAAGTGCGCCTCTTCCAATGCGATCATAAATAATCACTTTCGCTCGAGTGGAAAAAACACAGAAAAATACGTTCATCGATAAACATCGGGTATTACTAGGACTGAATTTCTTTTTCGATAATAACTCTCATTAGTTTTTGAGTGAAGAAAGCAGTTGTGTGCAAACGACGCTAATTCTCGTACTGTGCCCACACACCGAAACAATGTGGCACACTTGTCATCTTGTACACCTTACGTGAAGCAAATTACCGAGTGTTTTTTAATAACAGTGATTGTATATGTATCGAGTTTACGTAACTTTTCCTCGGGACAAGTCTACTACTAGCTAAAAGCGGAGAAAATTTTTCGAATAGAAAAAAATGTAGGATGCGAACTTTCACCGACTTAATTAGCTGCATCAAGTGCAGTTCAGACGAATTAAATTAATTCCCAAATTGGACGTCTATTTATGAGAAAGTTGACCCTGGTGCTTTTTCACTGACTTGACTGGTGGTCTGGATTTCCAACCATTTTTTAATTGTTTGAAATCCAGACTCGTCCAACCCCCTTGAACTTACTGACTCGACTTTGACTTTTAAAGACAAACACGGCGCCGACCACTCTGGTATCCTAATACTGAAGAAAATCCCCACCCACGAGCACTCCGAGCACCCCCCCGCCGAGCACAAAGTCCCCGACTTCAAGCACATCGACCACAAAGGGCCCGGTTGGGGCGAAATCATCGGGAAATTCTTCTCCGCCTCCACTTCTCTTAAACCCGGACATCCCGCCCCTTTCGGTGACGACCACCACCACCATTACACGCACGATGATGACCATCATCCCTCTAGTCACGAAGACTACCACCATCCCTCTAGTCACGAAGACTACCACGACTCTAGTCACGTAGATAGTCACGAATACTCCTCCTCGTCCAACGACAGCCCCAAAACCAGCCTTTTCGAGGAAGCCCCGCCTTTTCTGAACGGGGCGGAGTATGCGTCCGAGTCCAAAGGGGCTGCCGCCACGCAAGCTCCGCAAACCACGCCCGCGTCCGAGCCTCCAAAGCCCGCCCCTATCAAATACGACGAAGTCAGGCCGCTTTCGTCGTTCTCGAACGTGGGTTTTGACGGGACGTCGTTCTTGGCCAATTCTGATAGGTTCAATTATTTCGGAGGGGCGTTGTCTGAGCAACCCAATGCGAATTTCCCGGCGCTTTCGGTGTCGCTGCCGGCGATGAAACCCGTGGACGGGATGCAGTACGGGGCGTTTCAGAACCCGGGGGCGGGGACTGATTTGAAGTACTTGGCGGAGCTTGGACCCCAGGTTTTTCCCAGGCAGAACGGTTTTGGTAATGTTGATTCGTCGCCTCCGTATCCGCAATCTGTGCAGTATCACGCTTACCTGGATAAAGCCCAGGCATCGTCACTTAAAGGGTCCTTGAGACGACCTCCACGTAGTAAATATAGTAGTAGACCTAGAAGACCTTTGTATCCATCTCCTGCTTTCTTGCAATCTGTTATGTATCGGGCGGGACCAAACGGACCAAAGAGATCATAGACTGACGAAATGACAGGTAGGAACACTGACCTATGACAACCTACTAATGGTGACTGTAACAACAAAATCAGTATATCTATGAAATTGACTCAAATTTTTTTCCAGGTTACTACAACTACTACGAGCACTTTGACCCCTACTTCTTCCGGAGATAGACCTCTGTAAATACCGCTAACAACACCCAGAATAGCCGTAGCATCATCCAGTCCCTATTTATTGTTAATTTCTGTAAAAACCTGCTTTTGTATTGTATAAGACGTTATCGATAATAAATGTTTAACACTTCCCCAGAAATTTATTTCCCCGTAACGCAGCACCCAATTCCGTGTCAGTTGCGCACAGCGGTCACACAATCGCTTCATCAATTTTAACAATATATAACCTTAAAACGTAGTAGCTGACACAGTTTTATTCCAGTACAATTCCGCCAGGAATTTTAATGTTTATAAATTAAATTCCCGCCGTAATACTCGGAAGCCCGCAGTCCACGACGATTTCGAAAATTGTGTAAGGTGGTAATTCCGTCACGTTGAAGTACAAAGAATAAAATTTTGTCGCCGTTTATCCCACATCGTACGAGTTAAATCTGATTAATGCGAGACTCGATGGGAATATTTTCGTCTACTGTTTGCTATTCCGGCAGCTTTGCGACGCTATGTTTTCGTTATCGAGGAAAATATTGTACTTTAATTGGTAGCGACGCTCGAAATGTAAATTTGAATTTAGGAGCGGACACTACTTGTTTGTGGAGATGTTTAAATCGTTTGAATAAATCCTTAGGAAGTTTACGAGAAATATTAAACCGGTGGAAAAGTGGAAAACTTGGAAATTTTATTTTCTTTGATTTTTGTTAAGCACGGAAAAATAAGTAACACTGAATAAATCGGCGGCTGAGAACTAGTTTGATCCACAGACCCGAGCGCGCTCAAGCCAATGTCGACTCTAATACTAAAAAACTCCCAAAACTGAAATACAGAAAAATTAAAAAATAGAGGAGAAATTGAAGAATCGAAAAACTGAATAATCACAAAATTGAACAAAATTTCAAAAAATTGCGAAAGTAAAAAATTCAAAATTGAAAAATCAAAAACGAAAAAACGAAGAATTGAAGAACTGAAGAACTGAAAGATCGAAACTTCGGAAAGTCGAGAAATAGGAAAATCAAAAAAACTGAAAATTCAGAAACGTCAAAATTTTAAAAATTAAAAAATATTGAAGAACTGAAAAATCGGAAAATCTAAAATTTAAAATATTGAAAAATTAAAATATGCTAAAACTAAAAAAATGGGGAAATTCGAAACATCAAAAAATTAAAAAAATAAAAATTCGAAAATCTAACATTTAAAAATCGAAAAACAGAAAAATGAACAAATCGAGAAACCGAAACTCGAAAATATAAAAAATGGGAAAACTGAAAAAATCGGATAATTCAAAAATCGAAACATCGAAAAATCGAAAAGCCGAAAAATAAAAAATCGAAAAACCGACAAATCGAAAAAACAAAAAAAAATCGAAAAATTCAAAAACTGAGACATCGAAAAATCGAAAGATCCTGAAATCGAGGAGTCGAAAAGTCGAGAAGTCGAAAAATAGAAAAACTGAGAAACCAAGATCTCAAAAAATAGAAAAATCGAAATTTTAAAAATTCGGAAAATGAAAAATTTAACTATAGAAGAACCGGAATTCGAGAAATTGAAAAATCTAGAATTTTAAAAGTTGAAAAATTAAAATATCGAAAAGTTGAAAAATTGAGAAATCGAAATATAAAACAGTCTAGAAACTGAAAAATTTATAATTTAAAAAACGAAAAACTGAAAGATCACAAAATTGAACACGAAATTTCCAAAAAATAAAAACTCGAGAAATCGAAAAATCCAGAACACGAAAAATCGAAAAGTCGAAATATTAAAAAATCCCAAAACTGAAATGTCGAAAAATTTAAAAATTGAAAAATCGAAAAACTGAAAGAACACAAAATTGAACACGAAATTTCCAAAAATTGGGAAATAAAAACATTGAAAAATTGAGGAATCGAAAAGTCGAAAAATCGCAAACTCAAAAAATTGAAAAATTGAAGAACTGAAGAACTGAAGATCAAAACTTTGGGAAGTCGAGAAATGGAAAAATCAAGAAACAGAAACGTGAAAATTTTAAAAATTAAAAAATATTGAAGAACTGAAAAATCAACAAACCAAAGTTGAAAAATCTAAAGTTTAAAAAACGAAAAACTGAAAATCCAAAATAAAAAGTCAAGAAATCGAAAAATTCAGAACTTGAAAAATCGAAAATTCAAAAAATGAAATATCGAAAAATTGAAAAATAGAAGAAAAATTGAAGAATCAAAAAAAAGTCACAAAATTGAACGAAACATCCAAAAATTGGGCAATTAAAAAATTGAAAAATTGGGAAATTGAAAAATCAAAACACAAAGTTGAAAAATCACGAAATTAAAAAATCGAAAAATTGAAAAATCAAAAACCTGAAACATCGAAAAATTGAAGAACTGAAGAAAAGAAAAATCGAAACTTTGGAAAGTTGAGAAATGGTAAAATCAAAAAATAGATTCATTGAAAATGGGAAAACTGAAAAATCAAAAGATTGAGAAATCGAGGAGTCGAAAAATAGAAAAATCGAAAAATTGAGAAACCGAAATGATCCAAAATCGAAAAATTAAAAATGGAAAATTTGATAAATCGAGACATTGAACAATTAAAACATTTAAATATTCGAATTTCGATAAATCGAAGTTTCAAAAAATTGAAAAATCTAAAATTTAAAAACTCGGAAAATTGAAAATTTAAAATATACAAAAGTTGAAAAATTGAGAAATCGAAGTCTAAAACAGCCGAAAAATTGACAAACCTAAAGTTTAAAAAACAAAAAATTGAAAATCCATAAAGTAAAAGAAAATTCAGAAACATCAAAATTTGAAAAATAAAAGAATATTGAAGAGCAGAAAACTTGAAAAATCTAAAAATCCAAAATTTGAAACATTGAAAAATTAAAATATTGTAAAATTGGAAAATGGAGAAATCCAAACATTAAAAAATCAAAAAAATAAAAATTTGAAAATCTAAAATTTAAAAATCGAATAACTGAAAAATCAACAACTCAAGAAAACGAAACTCGAAAATTTAAAAAATTGAAAAATTGAAAAATCGGATAATTCAAAAACGAAACATCGAAAACCCGAAAAGTAAAAAATCGAAAAACCGACAAATAGAAGAATTGAAAGATTCAAAAACTGATACATTGAAAAATCACAAGATCGAGAAGTTGAAAAATAGAAAAATTGCGAAAATCGAAATAAACCAAAATCGAAAAATCGAAAAGTTAAAAACAGAAAAATTGATAAATCGAGAGATTGAATAATCAAAACAACGAGATCTCAAAAAATTGAAAAATCTGAAAAGTCGAAAAATAGAAAAACTAAGAAACTGAAATAGGCCAAAATCGAAAAATCGAATATTCAAAAATGGAAAAATTGATATATGAAAAGATAGAACAATCAAAACATCGAAACATTCGAATCTCGATAAATCGAGACTTCAAAAAGTTGAAAAATCGAAAAACTGAAAAATCACAAAATTGAACGAAATATCCAAAAATTGGGAAATTAAAAAATTGAAAAATTGGAAAATTGAAAAATCAAAAAAGCAAAGTCGAAAAACTGCGAAGTTAAAAAATCGAAGAATTGAAAGTTCAAAAACCTAAAAAATCGAATAATTGAAGAACTGAAGAACTGAAAAATCGAAACTTTGAAAAGTCGAAAAATGACAAAATCAAAAAATAGATTAACTGAATAATCGGAAGACTGAAAATTCAGAAAAATTAAAAATTATTGAAAATTGAAAAATACAAAAATCGAAAATTTAAAACATTGAAAAATTAAAATATCGTAAAATTGAATAATGGAGAAATCGAAACATCAAAAAATCAGAAACATAAGAATTCGAAAATCTAAACTTTAAAAATCGAAAAACTGAAATATCAACAAATTAAGGAAATGAAACTCAAAAATTTTAAAATCGGATAATTCAAAAATCGAAACATCGGAAAATCGAAAATTTAAAACATCGAAAATTAAAATATCGTAACATTGAATAATGGAGAAATCAAAACATCAAAAAATCAAAAAAATAAAAATTCTAAAATCAGAAATTTAAAAATCGAAAAACTGATAAATCAACGAATCAAGAAAACGAAACTCAAAAATTTAAAAATCGGATAATTAAAAAATCGAAAAACCGAAAAGTAAGAAATCGAAAAATCAAAAGATCGAGAAATCCAGGAGTCGAAAAGTCGAAAAATTGAGAAACCGAAATGAACCAAAATCGAAAAATTAAAATGGGAAAAATTGATAAATAGAGAGATTGAAAAATTAAAACATATAAACATTCGAATTTCGACAAATCGAGATTTCAAAAAAATTGAAAAATCGAAAATTTAAAAATTCGGAAAATTTAAAAATTAAAATATAGAAGAATTGAAAACTCGACAAATCAAAAAACCTAAAATTGTAAAAATTGAACAGTTAATATATAGAAAAGTTGAAAAATTGAGAAATCGAAGTATAAAACAGCCGAAAAATTGAAAAACCTAAAGTTTAAAAAACAAAAAATTGAAAATCCATAAAGTAAAAGAAAATTCAGAAACATCAAAATTTGAAAAATAAAAGAATATTGAAGAGCAGAAAACTTGAAAAATCTAAAAATCCAAAATTTGAAACATTGAAAAATTAAAATATTGTAAAATTGGAAAATGGAGAAATCCAAACATTAAAAAATCAAAAAAATAAAAATTTGAAAATCTAAAATTTAAAAATCGAATAACTGAAAAATCAACAACTCAAGAAAACGAAACTCGAAAATTTAAAAAATTGAAAAATTGAAAAATCGGATAATTCAAAAAACGAAACATCGAAAACCCGAAAAGTAAAAAATCGAAAAACCGACAAATAGAAGAATTGAAAGATTCAAAAACTGATACATCGAAAAATCACAAGATCGAGAAGTTGAAAAATAGAAAAATTGCGAAAATCGAAATAGACCAAAATCGAAAAATCGAAAAGTTAAAAATAGAAAAATTGATAAATCGAGAGATTGAATAATCAAAACAACGAGATCTCAAAAAATTGAAAAATCTGAAAAGTCGAAAAATAGAAAAACTACGAAACTGAAATAGGCCAAAATCGAAAAATCGAATATTCAAAAATGGAAAAATTGATAAATGAAAAGATAGAAAAATCAAAACATCGAAACATTCGAAATCGAAAAACTGAAAAAT